CGCAGTGCCGCTTAACCTAAACCTCGTTCATATATTACTAGCTGTTCCCGTGCGGCCTAATCCGCGTAAAACTATAAAAGCTTTATTTTATTGTTTATATTTGTGCACTCCAGACTTTGTTATATCTGTGCCAAATTTCAATAAGATATGTTGCACCGTTGCAGAGTTATCGAGTAAACATTAAAAAAGTAAATTAACGAATCCCACGGGAACCGTAACTATTCCCGGAATAAAAAGTAGCCTATGTGTTCTTCCAGACTATCCTCTACATCTATACCAAATTACATAGGAAACCGTTCAGCAGTTTAGGCTACAAACTCCAGCAAACATCCATCTAAACTTTCGCATTTATAATGTTAGTGTTTTCTATATTTTTGTAATATATTTTCAGTCTAAAGCCATATTGACATATCATCAAAGGATCCATACAGGAGAGAAACCCTACCAATGTACAGAATGCCCCAAAAAGTTTGGTTTACAGCAGCAATTGACGGTAAGTTAATATGTTCTATGTATTATATACTCCTTTTATTTACTTTTTTTACATAAGAGACTCTTATCTTTATAGATTATAAATTTCCTTTCCAACGGTGAAATTATTTTTGAAATTGTCCCAGTAGTTTTTGAGTTATTACCTATAATATTAGTAGAGGAGGTTTACCAGTGGTAGAGCCCGCTTTAACATCTTCGCACGAATGGGCCGGCTCGCCCGGTGTAACACCACGACCACACAGAAAACAGACGTGAAGTGGGAGCAATTCCGCGTACAGTCTGATGAGTGTGGTGCCAGAGGCCTAATTTTAGTCCCTTTTCCTTTCCACCCTTTTCTTAAGAGGAAGGAATGGGTAGAAAAAGTAGATTTGACGATGGAGGAGACGCATAGGAAGGGGAAATGTCCTCTTTATGTGCGTCTTTTCCTCCGTCAATGAAGGATAGGCAACGCATCTGCAATTGCGGATGTTTATGTGCAGCGGTCGCTTTCCATTTCGGTGGATTCAGGCCGCTTGCTCGTTTGCCACCTTATATTATAAAAAAAAAAAGGTTTTGTTTTTTTTTTTTACTTTTTAGTGTATTTAGTGTAAGTGTAAGTGTATTTAAAGGTTTTCTTTATATATGTTTTATTTTTTAGATTCACATGCGTATTCACACAGGCGAATGTCCATATAAATGTCCACATTGTCCTAAAGCGTTTAAACATAAAGCTGCCCTCAACAGACATGATCGGGTAAGAATCTTATTTTTACTAATATACTTTTATTTAAGATAAATAAATGTACCCTATGTTACTCACAGATAAATTACCTTTCTTATAGTGAAAGAATTTTTAAAATCGTCCCAGTAGTTTTTGAGTTATTTCAATACGTACAAAAAACAAATCTTTCCTCTTTATAATAATTTAGTATAGATATATTATCAAGTTTCGTGTCGTCTCGTGTTGTATTGTAAAATATTTTATAAAATTATAATAAGCTTTTTTTTATAACAAAAGGTGGCAAACGAGCAAGCGGCCACCTGAATCCGCCAAAATGGTGAAGCGACAGCCCATACACATCCGCAATTGCAGATGCGCTGCTTACCCTTATACGACGGAGGAGGAGACGCACATAAAGAGGATATTTCCCCTTCATATGCATCTCCTCTTCCGTCAAAGCCACTTCCCCTTTCCAACCTCTCCTTATAAGAAAAGGGCGGTAAAGAGAAAGGGACTTAAATAAGGCCTCCGGCGCCACACTCGTCAGACTGTACACGGAATTGCTTCCACTTCACGCCTGTCTGTGTGGTCGTGGTATTGGGGGCGAGCCCCGCAGTGCTAAGATGATAAAGCGGGCACTACCACTGTTAATTGCTGCTAATTGCTCCATCTATCGTTACAAAATAAACTAAATGGTCACAAAAGAAAAATATTTAAAATCTTATTTAATGACATCTATTGGCAGATTAAATACAATTATGTTGACATGTTTTGAATATACCTCAATAGATGGCGTTTGTGTGAAAAAAGTCAAGTGAACTGTCAACTATACTTCCTGTATATTTTTTTTTCATTTGTTCGAAGATGTTAAATTATTTTTTTTTTATATTTTTTCAGGTACATACAGGAGTGAAGCCGTACATCTGCCCGCATTGCGGGAAAACATTCACTCAGTCTAATTCAATGAAACTGCACGTTAATACAGTGCATTTGAAAATGCCCGACCCTTATAGGAATCGACGGAAGAAAAACTTGTAAAATCCAATAAATATAATTTCAGTACTTTCTTGTGTTCTTTTTTTACATTTATGTCCTTGTTGCTCGCGACTTCGTCCGTGTGGAATTAAAAAAAATGTAGCCTATGTTACTGATAACGTATCTTTCTAACAGTGAAAGAATTTTTGAAATCGGTTCAGTGGTATTTGAGTTATTTCAAGATATACAAAAATCCAAATATTTACTCTTTATAATGTTAATGAAGATTACGAAGTTTTAAGCGACATGGTTACGCTTAAATTGAAAATAAAAGACGTTTGTCTGTTTCTCTTTCGATGTGAAGTGAATAAAAAGATCAAGTCTAAAATGACAGGCTTTAAAATTACTTCATGAAAGCGCCATCTTGTGTCGTAAGAAACAAGTGTTTAGTACACAAAAATTTTGTTAGATGGCGCTGATAAATATTTAACAAATAACTTTTTGATTGATTTAACAAGCCTTAAGTACACAAAAATTATGTTAGATGGCGCTGTATAATATTTAACAATACATCGTGAAAATATCCTAGGCAGGCTAAAATATTCAGATTTACGTGAAATTTCACATCATGACATTGATAACAAGGTCTTTTAAGAATTATTTAAGGTGAATTTTCCTTGAAATTTCGTGATCTACATATTCAAATCTTGTAATAAACTAACATAAACCCTTTATTTGGTAAACATTCGTTAAAATATAGATATTTTTTAGTGTATTATGATTTTATCATAATACATTCAGAAGTTTAGGCTTCAAACTTTAATAAACCATCAAAACTTTCGCTTTTATTAGTAAGATAAGATTACATAAATAATATTTTTAACCTTGAACCCAGGTCTAACTAACCAAATCATCCGAAAATCTACAAAAATTTACTAAATCTTGAGATGATCGTATTGTGAAAGGCGATGTGGTAACTCAAAGTACATGTAGGTCGCGTCGACCGTGAGTAGAGGCTAACGTGTTTACTAGTGATGTGGTAAGTTGATAATTAAAAAATATCGATACAGGAAAACATGCTATAACCATTTTAAATTGTTTAATTTAAAAATAATGATGACGCAACTGAGACAAACATAAACTTTTATTTTTAAATTTTTTATGGTTAACAGACATTTATTTGATAAAGTAAATATAACCTAATTAGAAAAGTAAAAAAAACTAGCTAAAACTAATTTTATTGGTAATCTTACTTCTTAAAGTTTAGATGGATGGATGGATATTTGTTAGAGTTTGTAACCTTAACTGCTAAAGGGATCTAGATGAAATTTGGCATAGACGTAGAGGATAGTCTGTAAGAACATATAGGCTTCTCGCTTTTGCTTTTTTTTAATCCGCGTGGATGCAGTCGCTGGCAAAAGCTAGTTGATAATAAAAGTAAGTAAAAGTCGAGTTCAAGTGTTTTTAACAAAAACACTATCGATATTGCGAATACATCACTATTATCAAGTTACGATAATTCTTCAATATTGAAAGCAACAGTTCGATTAAGTGCGTTTAACAAAAAGCTCCACTTTAAATTGTTTATTTGAGTTAATTTTATTCGATATAAACAATATCGGATTTGATTTTGGTAAGTACAAAATTAATTTCACAATTAACGGAATATCAACAACTTTTTCAGATTAAAAACTTTCAAAATAAAAAAAAAACTTTCCCGCCTATTATTATGTCACGTAATAATTGTCTATGCATAACAGATTAAATAATTTATTAGACATTAGGAACTTTTTATTCCTTTTTAAGCTTTATTTGCAATTACAAAAATAATTATAAAAAAAACTGTTTTATATTATTGTTATAATTTCATATGCAGTAATAATGGACGCGTGTATAAACGAGCCGTGCACCAGCGGGGATGAGCAGAGATCGGCGGGCGTCAGAGTTGTCGTTGTAAGTTATACAATTTTACGTTCATTAAAAAACTCTATTTATTTAATAGTTAATCGTTAGTAAAATTACACGTAAAGTTTACAAATGAAGCTTCTAATTGGCAAGGAGTTTTTGTTAGTTTTTTTTTCTTTATTATGACTATACATCATTTCATTTCCAGCTTAATCTCCCAGAGGATGAAGGCGAGGGTCTCGGATTTAGACTGACCAGGACACTTTGGGATCCATATCCTTGGGTAAGTTATGTTATAAACTCATTTTAAATCACTTCCCATTGGCGCTAGTGTGTTCTGCGTTTTAAATAGTGATGTTCTTTGATTTCCTTTCTTTAGGTTCGTGATGTAAAATCTGGCGCAAGAGCTGATTTAGCAGGCTTGAGAGCTGGTGATTGTTTGTTACAAGCTGATGGGAAGGACCTATTGGGGATGCCGGTAGGAAAATTTAAATTTCTACCATTAATACTGATTTGAATATGACGAATGACATGCCATTAAATTTATAATCATTCTCATTATACTTTGAGTCGTGTTTATGGTTTTTAAACTAACATTTAGTACGGCTTATTAATATTTGTTTCGTTACCAGGTAGGTCAAGTAGCAGGACTTATCAGAGGCGATGGAACAGGCGGCGGAGTCACTCTGCTTGTATGGAATTGCGGTGTAGATCCTAATGATGATCCTGAGGTTCGTAGAGTTCTTTATTAATGACAATACTGTACTAAACACTAAGATAATCAACTATAGTAGTACATGAACTACATTATACACATTGTATTTTTGCGAAAATGTTTCATTTGCCGGTTTTACATAAGAGTAGGATAAGGACGGTTTGGCGATGGAAAACTCACTACGTCGATGTAATTTAAGCGTAATGAATTCTTTAGTTGTTACATTACTTACTCTCACCCGCAACTCCGTTAGTGTGAAATTAAAAAACAAATTTAAGTAGCCTATGTGTTCTTCCAGACACTCTACATGTATAATAATCATCGAGAAATTCTAACAAGCATCCATCTAAACTATCGCATTTATAATATTACTAAATAAGCTTTGAACTGGTATAATTCCAGTTACTATGGAGTTGTGGCGGAGGTTCCCGCGGAGAGAAGTCCCGGCGAGCTCTGGCTGGAGTTATCAAGGCTCTGTCGTGCTGCGTGTGCGCCGCCACCGCTACTAAAGCATTGACATGCGCCCGATCACATCTCTACTGTGAAGGTAAGTAGTTATATGAGAAAAAATGTTTTTACAAGAAGTTTTAGCATAACATAGCAAGTATAGTGTACCAAATAGATTAAGGGTGCGATTTCTGCAATTAACTGCTTTCGCAGTTTGGCGAGGTTATATGTAATTTTGTTGTACTTATTAAATAAATAAAAAAGTGTTACCTATTGCTATAAACTTTCTCATTCGAAGTCATTTAGTGATGTCCCTCAGTGTACCTTAGTGACCTTTGAATGGCAAAAGTCATTGAATCATAACTTAAGTTGTACCTTACTGTTTTACAAATAGGGAACTAAAAGATTCCTTTATTTAATTACTGAGTGTGGCATTTTAACAGATATATATAAAAAAACGAGCTGTTGCCCGCGACGTCGTCCGCGTAGTATTAGAAAACATACAAACTATATAAATTACAAAAAGTTACGTATTCCTCGGGAACTGGACATTACTCGGGGATGAAGCTTATCCCATGTGTACTCCAGACTTTGTTTTATATCTGTGCCAAATTTCAATAAGATATGTTGAACCGTTGCAGAATGATCGAGTAAACATTAAAAAACTAAATTGATGAATCCCACGGGAACCGTAACTATTCCCGAGATAAAAAGTAGCCTATGTGTTTTTCCAGACTATGCTCTAAACCTGTGCCAAATTTCATAGTGATCCGTTTAGCCGTTTAGGCTACAAACGCTTACATCCATCCATCCATCCATCCATCTAATCTTTCGCATTTATAATATTAGTAAGGAGTAAGATAATATTAGTAAGATGGGCACCACTGGCCTCACAAATTCTACTGGAATTATTAACTAAAATTGATTGATAATGGCTTCAATATCGTTTGATATTTCAGTCTGTTGGACTCGATTAGAGCGTTGTGCGTTATGCAGAGAAAACCTACCTTCGAAAGATTCTCCGTATTCAAGGAATTTGGTAGCTGAACAGGTAAAATGCAACTCAAAAATTCTAAAATAAATATATCTATATTCTTAAATATATTTTCAATTTCAGGTATTCGAAGCTATCGCTACGGAATACGAACTAAAAGATACAATTCGAAGAACTTCTAAATGTACATCCGCGTATACATCTCCAGAAAGATCTCCAAATATATCACCCACTACAACTAGGAGAGGACAATATCAACTCTCAATGATGAATAAAAGCAAAAGGAACATACAAAATAACGACAAATTCCCATCAGACCCGAATATACATCGTACATTAAGCAATAAACATGCTATAACACCAAATCCAACTAAAACAGTAGATTATTTATCCGCTGGCAACATCGGAAATGTCAACTGCAATTGTCACAGATTAAATAATGACGCAAACCAAGGGAATGTGTCACAGATTCTAGTGGAAGATGCCGATAATTCCACAATAAATTGTAATAAAGCAATACAACATAAATTAGTAGCGAATTTACGACAAGCTTGTTCTATGGCGGATTTGCATACGGCTGTGTCTGGATGTTCATTGTCGAAGTCGTTAAATAATGTTAGTATAGGAAATCAATGGTAAGACATTTTTTATATAGCATTGTCGTACAGCCACATTTTGGCTGAACCTTAGTCTTAATTTTTTTTTAATTTCAGTTGCAACAATGGCGGCCATAGCAACTCGTTAGATAATTTTAAATCCAATTGCATCGCGACTTGTGGTAAGAAATAATCCAATTTTTTTGCATAATTGATTTGTACAAGATGTTCAAAATCATATTTTATTTATTTTTAGATCCACCTGTGTACGTGTTAGCGGCGCCTCAACCAATTTACCCTTTAGCTTGCGATCATGTTAAAAATTGATATACAATGTGCCATTTAGACTAGTTTGTATTAATTTAATTAAATAACAAATTTAAGTACTGTATGAATCTTTTTTAAAAATTACCTTTAGGTTAATGTGTTGTTTAAATCGATTGAAAAGTTTTTTTTATCACGAAGTAATCTTAGAATACTTGCATCTATTAGTAAAATGTATTATAAAATTGTAAAATAAAATTATTCTTATTTACTTGTTTTCTTTTCATAAACCCAAACTTTTTAAACGAAAATGAAAAGAATATCAATGTTACAGCTATTGTCTCGCATATGTAAAGTAATTAAAACTTTTACTTCATTTGAATGTTTTGGTCAGTTCTATAAAAACTTGAAATGCACTCAAATAAAAAAAAAACATATTTTTAGGCGACTGAAAATCGATTTTAAATGAACCCGCTATGAATCAATACATACCAACCTCTACAGCACTATGCTCAAAAATCCTTTCTTACTAACACGACCAAAACAAGAAAATTACGTGTTTCTCCCTTAAGAAAGTATAAATATATTTATTCCGTGTTCTTGTAGAAATTGTACTTAGAATATCTTGATATGAAGCCTTCTTATTATTTGTTGTAGTTATTTTATGTCATCCGAATAAAATGAATCGATTGTTTTGCTAATCGATTCGTTTCATTTGTATTGACGCATGACACATCACTAGGCGTTATACAACGCACGTCCTGTCCACAGATACTGTCATGGCGGTTTTACATATTGCATAGAAAAATAAGATAATTTCATATCAGATACGAAAAGGCGGATAACTTAGTAATCTGTGCTTTTATTTAAATCCTAAAATAAAAATGTTCTTTTGCTCATTCGTTAGCATACATTATATTATCTGTGAATGTGGAGATACTTTTCCAACTGAAGACGCTTTAAAAGAACATTTAGAAAACGAGCATAATCAGAAATTAGAAGTGGAGAGACATGAAGAATTCTCCTGCGCAACAGTAAGTTATTGCAGACATACTAATATTTTAACTATTTTATTTAAATAGTCTATAAAGTCATTAGTCTGTGCTAGGATTCAATTTTTTTGTGATAGCTGTGCTTATTACGCGTTTTAAAATGTAAATAAAGAATGTACAATGCATTCATAAATAAAACCAATTTACAGTAACCTAAAACGCATTATTTGTAGTTTTTTTGATAGTACATTGATACGTCTTTCGTTTTAGCAATTTTTTTTCAATTTAATTTGAAAATGTGTTTGAGGAATAGCATTGTAATACAAATTGTAAGTTAGAATGCAGAATTTGGTAGGTTATGTGAAATTTAAAAACAGAAACCTTATTTTGTAGCCAGAAATTGTTAAAAATGCTAAAGAATCTTGCATTCTTTATAACATTCATCTTTTCTATACAATTTTACTATACTTTATCTTCTAATATCCACAAAATTACAGTAATCTCTTGGAAAACATGACTTAATATAGTACTTTAGACTTGTATATTCTAACTAAAGTTTAGTTGTACCCAGCTTAATATATGTAGTACAAAAATTGCTCCAATATGTCACTAAGCCCTAGTTAGCCCTAGGCTAGTTAATTCTGTTGAAGAGCAAGTAATTTACTTACTAAACATGTCTAACTATCATTTAGTCAAGGAAATTAGCAAATCATACTAATATTATAGATGCGAAAGTTTAGATGGATGGATGTGTGTTAGAGTTTGTAGTCTAAATGGCTGAATGGATCTGGATGAAATTTTGTATAGATGTAGTAATCTGGAAGAACACATAGGTTACTTGCTTTTTTAATTACATGTGGGCGGAGTCGTGGGCAAAAGCTAGTCATATATCAACAAAATTACTTGTCTAAGGCAAACAGCATTAAGCCTTGTGTATGTAAGGATGAAGTGATTGTGTTAACATCTAAGCAAAAGTACATAGTCTGCTTACCCCTTGTATCTACAGGCTAGTTTTTTTAAAACTATTAACAGTAATCTTTGGTTTACAATATAACAGTAAATTAGGCTATATTTTTATTGTCTTATTTCACTGACATAATGAAGTATTCTCTACCCATAGACATCTAATTGCAGAAGTGTTGACATATAGTAAAGGAGGCAAATAAAGAGGATATTTTCCATTCTATGCACACCATAATCCAACAAACCCAGTTTTTCTCTCATTTCCTTACGAGTCAAGGGTTGGGAAGGGTTAACACTTAAAATATGTCTCCGGCACACTAAAAAAACAAAATTGCTTCTACTTGATGTGCTGGTGCTGTGGTGTGTATTGTTCAAAGATATGTGTGAAGTCAACCAACCCGCAGTGGGCCAGTGTGGTTGACTATTTCCTAGTCACTGTAATTTAGGGTAGGCTCCGCGCCCCTCGGTGGGGACATATAGTGAGCTGGTAATGATTATGATGATATGGTAGTACTGGCATATTGTTAAGTTATTGCATCAATTCATGTCCATGCCAGCGAGACTGGTTTACTGGCAAAATAAACCAGTCATGTAATTAATGTTCACCAGTTTGTCTCCATTGCAGTGCGACAAGGTCTTCCCAACGGAGAAGGCCTGCGTCATCCATCAGCGTGTCCACACCCTGCCGATACGAGAAAGGGAGGAGAATGACGAAGTTTTCTGGAAGCAACAAATGAGGAAGGAGAGAGATGAAGTGAGGCGGGAGAGGGAATTAGTGAAGAGAGATAGAGAAGTGAGACGGGAACGGGAGAAGCGACAGAAGACAAAAAATGTGAAGGATTATTTTAACTCGAAGAATGTTGTTTGTGAAGTTTGTGGGAAAAGATATGCGGTAAGTGTTATTTTACTAATATAAACTAGCTTTCGCCCGCGATTCTGTGCGCGTGGAATAAAAAAATAAACCCAAGTAGCCTGTTTTCTTCCAGACTATGGTGTACATGTGTCAATTGTCATTGAGATCCTTACAGTATTTTGGGCTACACACTGTAACATCCATCTAAACTTTCGCATTTATGATATGTCAATGTGAAAGTTTTAATGGATGGATGGATGTTTCACTTTGAATAGCCTAATGGGTTGCGGTCGAGGGTTCGAATCTCGCCATTCGAGTATTGTCGTGAACCATATCCTAGCACAAGCCTAGAGCTTAGTTGCAGTGGTTAAAGGAAATATTAGTAAAATAAATCTGCTAATATTACTAAAAAAAAAGGTATCTTAAATGAACAGATCTTGATGATTGTCATATATGTAGAGGATAGTCTCAAACAAATAGGTTATTTTCGTTTTTTTTTAAATTCCACACAGACGGAGTGGCGTGCGAAAGTTATACTATACTAATATGAAGATTTGTAATTTTGTATGTATTGAAATAACTCAAAAACTACTTTGCTAATTAAAAAAATACTTTCATTATGAATGTTATCAGTAAGTAATATACGCTTTATTTTTTTAATTCACGTGGACGGTGTCACAGGCTAGTAATAATATCCATATGTTAATATGCTCTTTTGATGTAAATTTCAGTCTAACGCAGCTCTCCGCTATCATCAGCGAGTACACACCGGAGAGAGGCCCTATCATTGTACGGAGTGCCCTAAAACATTCACAATGCCGTTGTTCCTACAGGTAAGGGATGTTTCTGTATGTAACAGGTAAACTCAAAAACTACCGGAGTTTTTTCAATAATTCCTTCACCATTAGAAAGCTATATTATTACTGAATGTTATAGGTTATATTAAATACTAGATTTTTCCTTATTAATGTTATAAATGCGATAGTTTAGATGGATGTTTGTTAGTTTGTCTCTCTTGAATGGATCTCGATGATTGTCACATGTAGAGGATAGGATAGAACACAGGCTACTTGCTTATTTTTTATTTATTTTACGCAGACGGAGTCATAGGCGACAGCTAGTTTCCCATAAAGATTTAATTTAAACTCCAATCTTTATAAAATATTTAAAAGGCATATATAGTAGAACCTCGATATTTAAACCTCGGTAACTTAAAAACCACTATAACTTCAAAAAATATGTTCCCTTCCCATCAGAGCCCAAAACCTACAACATATCAAGGGTCTGATAACTTAAAACCTCTATAACTTAAAATATTTTGTTTCCCTTGGACTCTAACTTATCGAAGTTCTATTATTTCATGAATATGTTTGCGTTTCTAATAACGAAAAGGATTTTAATTTTTATCCGTTTGTCTGAGTGTTTGTTCTGTGTAATCTCAACAACTGTTCGATTCATTTAGACGAAACTTTGACCGGAATATAGATAACTAGCTTTCGCCAGCGACTCTGTTCTCGTGGAATTAAAAAAAAACTAGGTATCTTCCAGACTATCCTCTACATCTATACCAAATTTCATCGAAATCCGTTCAGCAGTTTAGGCTACAAACTCTAACAAACATCCATCTAAACTTTCGCATTTATAATATTAGTAAGATGTCTTCAGAAATGTTATAGACTATATATTTTAAATCATACTAATATTATAAATGCGAAAGTTTGGACGGATGGATGTTTGTTAGAGTTTGTAGCCTAAACTGCTGAACGGATTTCGATGAAATTTGGCATAGATGTAGAGGATAGTTTGAAAGAACAGAGAGGCTAATTGGGTTTTTTTTCTCATGATTTTTTTATACACTGGTTCCTTAGAACATGTCAATTCCATAACACCTTAAACATAATACAAAATAATGAAAAACAAATTACAGTATTTGCTGTTTTTTTTCTTTATTATATGCGGACGGAATCGCAGACAACAGCTAGTATGTCTATTTTGATACATTAATTTCAGATTCACTTGCGCACACACACAGGGGAGAGACCTTACAAATGTACGAGTTGTCCAAAAGCTTTCAGCAACAAGGCAGCTCTACTTAGACATGATCGAGTAAGTACTATACTAATATAATAAAGCGTAAACAAATTGTAATCTAGGTTGTAAATCACAGTATTTTTTATGATTTTTTTATATAATAAACATCCGCAGTTGCAGCGCTGCCTACCCTACATTGACGGAGACGCACAGACATTTCCCCTTATGCGTCTCCTTAAATACACTTTTTTCTCCATCCTCTCTTAAGAAAAGGATGGAAAGGGAAAGGGACTGAAATTAGGCCTCCGGCACTCATCAGAGTGTACGGAATTGCTTCCACTTCACACCTGTCTTGTGGTCGTGGTATTGCTGAGAGCCCTGCAGTGAAGATGTTAAAGCGTACACTACCACTGTTATATTTTCGAATAATTCTTTCCTTAATAAAAAGCCCAACACTTACGACACGCTATAGGTTATACATTTTCACGCCATTAAAATTAGGGGTAAATAAAAAAACATGTTTTTTCCAAATTATTCACTCCCTAAGTTTAATGGCGTGAAAATATATAACCTATAGCGTGTCGTAAGTGTAGGGCTTTTTAATTAAGAAAGAATTATTCAAAAATATGCTGTAATTGCTGACATCTTAGGCAACAAAGAAGTGTGTGTTTACGCTTTATTACAAAAACTAGTAAATTTTAAGTAAATAAATATATTATCCATACAATGTTTTGTCTTAAGACCAATAACAGATAAAATCTTTTATAAAACGTAATATTTAAATTTCTTGTCTGTTTGTTTGTTCCCTGTAAACTCCAAAATGGATGGATGGATTTTAACAGGACTTTGACTGAAATATAGCTGATATATACGAGAATGTTTAGGATAGTTTTTTTTTAAATTAAATGCAGTAAAACCTCTATAAGTTAAAGTCTAAAAAATAAAAGTAACTCACTAGTGATATACGGATTATGCAACTAAAAAAAAATAAAACAAACTGCAAAAAAGAGTATGGACCAAGAGTCTGTAGTTGAAAATAAAAATTTAAAAAAAAATAAAGTCCAAGGGAAACACAGAATATTTTAAGTTATAAAGGTTTTAAGTTATCAAGGGTCTATGTTGTAGAGGTTTTGGGCTCCGATGGGAAGGGAACATATTATTTTTTGAAGTTATCGAGGTTCGTTACTGTATTAACATTATTAATTTTAACAGTGGTAGTGCCCGCTTTAACATCTTAGCACTGCAGGGCTCGCCCCTAATACCATGTCCACACAGACAGGCGTGAAGTGGAAGCAATTCCGTGTACAGTCTGATGAGTGTGTGCCGGAGGCCCTATTTAAGTCCCTTTCTCGTCACCACCCTTTTCTTATGAGAGGATGGGAAGGGGAAATGAATTTGACGGTGGAGGAGATGCGTAGGAAGGGGAAATATCCTCTTTATGTGCGTCTCCTCTTCCGTCGGATAAGAGTAGGCAACGCATCTGCAATTGCGAATGTCTATGGGCAGTCGCTTCGCCATTTTGGCGGATTTAGATGGCCGCTTGCTTTGCCACCTTATATTATAAAATAAAATTAAGAAATGCCAATAATTGAGGAAATGTGAATTTCAGGTACATACAGGAATAAAACCATACATGTGTCCGCATTGTAAGAAAACATTTACACAATCGAATTCGATGAAGTTACATGTGAAAACTGTACATTTGAAAATGCCAGCTCCATACAAAAGTAAGAATAGAAGGAATAAACCCAGAGGTAAATATTACTAATGAAAATGCGAAAGTTTGGATGGATGGATGTTAGAGTAGCCTAAACAACTGAACGGATCTCGATGAAATTTGGTATAGATGTAGAGAATAGTCTGGAACACATAGACTCACTTTTTTTTAAGTACACGCGGAGGGATTCGCGGACAAAAGCTAGTGTTTACAAAGTTTGATGGATGTTTGTAATCTACTGAATGGATCTTATTTATTGTGATATATAGATTTTTTTTAATTTAACGCGTAAAATCACCCGAGCAAGCTATTTTTTTAAGATATAGGAGTTTTTTTTGTAATAGGTAAACTCAAAAACTACTGCAGATTTTTTAAAAATTCTTTCACTATTAAAAAGTTATGTTATCACTGAATGATACAGAATATATGTTTTTATTGGATTTGTTTTTAAATTCGCGTAAATACGGTTTTTTTATATGCAAAAATATTCAATTCCAGATATGAAATTAATGAAACCAGAAGATTTAGATATTTACCAGCAGGAGATAAAAATAGAATTACAGCCGGAAATAAAAGCGGAAATTATCGAATATCAAGAAGGTGACGTTTTAGTTGAAAATCAAGAACAAATTGGTGCACAGTTTTATTTCCAAGATGGGGAGGTTTTTCATGAGGTTTTTCAAGATAATTTGTACCATGAAGAAATTGTGGAGAACCCAGAAGCTAATTTATATAAATTGGAGAAACCACAAGAATTGTATGAAGAAGTTTATGAAGTGGAATTGTAAATAAGTTTGGATGGATGGATGGACGTTTATAATACTTAATTCCTCATTGACGGTCGCGTAAGCTAATCTGTTGTAATAATGTGGTAACATTCGCCGATTAGGCGAAAGAACCCATAGATGTTCGTAAAAGAGATGCATATAAATTTTTCCCCTTATATGTCTACCAAAGAGATTCAAATATGTATAGAGTTGGCATAGTTGAAACATTTTTCATGCTAAATTTATAGGTTTTCAATATAATTTTTATTTAAATTATTCGCCAAAAAGGTTATTAAGTAATATTTTTTGAGATTGTTTAGTTTATTTTATAACAAAAGATGGAGCTTGTAATTTATAGTTTGTCTAAATAAGATAGATTAGTTTGACAATTTAGTAGGGATGAGTAAAGAATGAAGCTTTTCGATTTTTATTCTTATAGAAGTTGGAATTGATAGATTTATAATTAATAAACTTGTGAATTAAAAAAACACTGTTTTCTCAAATTAATAATGACCATAACAAATAATGAGAGTAAATAAATGTTTACTACTACAGCGGTACGTAATCGAATTGTATTTCGCTATTATTTCTGTCATCGCTAAATTCTCTACACTATAATCAATACTAGAATTGTCCTCTAAATTAGTTAATAAGAAAATAATAATTTTAGTTAAGTTCGATAATTATTTCGTCACTACGATACCTGTCTATTAAGTACGTCAGCCTTCATACAAATTGAATTCGATACTTCATATGCGTCATTTATCAAACTAGTATCTTATTTAGACAAACTATAGTAAAATGTTTTATAACCTCAATACAGGCAATAAACTTGACTGATTTAGTACCTTTCAGAGAAAGTACCGGTGGAAATAATTTTGTTCAGTCAACTCTATATATTGTTTAAATATCTTTGGTCTCCGTCAAATCCTTATAAAAAGAATAGAGAAGGAAACGGCCTTTGGAAATAATTTTAATATGAAATTAAATATATGTAATATGCAATATATATTTGTTTTAGTATTTGGTTAATGAAATTTTGATTAAAATAAAGAATAAATTTTTAGCTTTTAAATGCTCCAATTCAAGAAAAAAATGCTAGGGTTATTTATTCCCCCTTTATTATACTGATATGGGAAAATATACGCATTTAAAGGTAAAAATTCTGGTAATAAAATAGATTAAAATGATATCCATAATGAATAATACCAATAAATACCGTTTTAAGGAACATTGCAATAACCAAGTACCGGTTATAAATATATTGAATATATCTTATTTTTATATAAAGGTAGAAAACAAGCAAGCGGTCTGAATCCACCGAAATGGAAAGCGACCGCTGCCATAGACATCCGCAATTGCAGCGCTGCCTACCCTTCATTGACGGAGACGCACATAAAGACATTTCCCCTTCCTATGCGTCTCCTCCATCAAATCCACTTTTCCTTCCCATCCTTTCCTCTTAAGAAAAGGGTGGAAAGAGAAAGGGACTAAAATCAGGCCTAGGTCTAGATCTACTGATTCGTTTTAACCAATATTCAGTTATATTAAAAAGATGGTTTCGGTTGTAACCAATGTATTTGTAATGGTTTTTATTGTACACATATTAAAAATATATTTACTGCCTATTGTTTCAATTTAATTATACTTCATATTAAGGTTGTAACGGAACTCTGCTTCCGCATCCGCAAGTGCGGAACTTCCGCAAGAAATAATTCCGCATCCTCATCTGCTTCCGTTAAAATTTGTTACAACCATTCATATTTATAATGCGAAAGTTTGGATGGATGTTTGTTACAGTTTTTAGCCTAAACTGCTGACCGAATTTCGATGAAATTTTGTATAGATGTAGAGGATAGTCTGGAAGAACACATAAGTACTTTTTTTTAATTCCACGCGGATGTAGTCTCGGGCGAAAGCTGTAAATAAACTGCAATATTGAAGATGTTTTTGTGACGTCATTAAAAGTAGATTTTGTAAGATATTTTTAAAATGAAATAAATGGTTTTGTTTTACTGTAAAGGTGTTTAAAATTAGTTTACTTGTAAAATATAATATTTATAATAGTGTGTTTTTTATTTAATTTCCTGATAAATATTCATTACGTGTCAAAACGCGTAAAAACCAATTTTTTCCTCATTTACTAAATTTTATGGCGTGCCACTTAAAAAATGCTTATTCCCTTGCAACGAGACAAATTCCATCTCGCAAATAATAAGGTCAGTGATTCTCAACCTTTTTATTTTTGGCACATATTTAACGATTTCAAAATTTGGCACACAAAGAGAAAGTTAAAAAATATTTACTACAACACACTGCATAAATAGTCTATGACAAAAATGTGAATAATTTGGCGGCACACAAAAGTGCAGCGGCACAGTGGTTGAGAATCGCTGAATTAGGTAGTAGTGAGTTATACAAACGAAATAGTTAAAAGCAATTAAGCATACAAATCGTTCAAATTATGTTTTTTAAGAGGAACACTTATAATAGAGGAAGTTTGAGAGTAGCCCCAGTGGTTGAGAAAATAAGGAGTAAAAGGTTAGAGTGGTATGGGCATGTTCTGAGAAGGGATTTAGTGGTAGAGCCCGCTTTAACATCTTCGCACGAATGGGTCGGCTCGCCCGTTGAAATACCACCACCACACAGAAGACAGGCGTGAAGTGGAAGCAGCATGGAACATTAACAGATTCCCTGATTGTTTTTTATACCTGGTTATTGGTAATTCGACATATTTCCGGAGGCGATTATTAGTGATAATTTTCACCCCCATATGCATTATGCAAAAGTTAACCATTTTTGAGTTCACATGGCTTTGTTTTTTTTTTCAAATTAAAATTCAACTTCACAGATTTACTAAAAAAATATCAGTTATAACTTCGTTTTTTCTTTGAATTTATAAAAACTACTAGCTTTCGCCCGCGACTCCGTCCGCGTGGAATTAAAAAACAAAACCAATTACATATGTGTTCTTCCAGATTGTCCTCTACACTACATCTTTACCAAATTTCATCGAAATCGGTTGAGCCGTTTAGGCTACAAACTCTAACAAACATCCATCTAAACTTTCGCATTTATAATAATAGTATGATTAGACATTGATTATTAAACAATATTATAACATCAATTATGTCTCCAAATTTTTTTAGTGACATTTACGTCTTTGGAAAAAATCTAAAAATCATGATTAATCAAAAATGGTTATGTTTAAAATAAACAAATAAATAGGACTTTTATTGCCTCAAAAACAAGCTACAAGTAAGAAAAAATGTGGCAAATGGCGGCAAGCTCAGCTAAATGTTTTGAATATATGTGTCAAAATTATTTCAAATCATCTTTTATTACCTTACGGGAATACGTTAAAATACCAAAAATCCTATATATCAGGAGTTTGCTGTAAAAAATTAAACAACAATTGTAATAAACTCGTTTATTCACTACTTACAAGAAACATTTTTAAAACGAAATTCGCGATTCCTACAACCATACAATTTATACAAAAATCCATTCAGACTAGATTTGACTAGATTAGATCTAATACACAACGCGTTTGGAAATTACAAATTAAATGTATAAACACTTAAAAAGAATCACTTTATTATATAAAAATATAAATTAATGATGTGTGTACATATTGCTTTTAGATTACGTAATTAATTATTGCACATGTCGCGCCAAAATATTAAAATTATAGGTTAGAATTACATCAAGGAGAAAAATACAGACTATATTACTATAGCGTTATCACTAACACGAGTTATTGCTTACTTATAATAATTTAATGCTAATAATAAATTCATTTATATGGATGTCATGCGATTTAAAATATCGACGAAGAAGGCGTAGTGATGTGAAATTTATCGACAATTTACCGGTAAAAAAAACCGGTAATTTTTTAATGTAGAAAAGACAATTTAAAATAATCAATATTTCAATATATTTATCAAATTACGATGAAAAGTCTGGAAATATCACGATAACCGTTTTTTTTAATAATAAGTAGTAACTCATTTAAAAATGTTAAAAAAATTATTATACTGTGCGTCTGCGTGTGAAATAAAAAGGTCATGTAGAGGGCATATGACCAATATGTTTAAAAAGCTTATATTAATTTAATCTATTGGGGCAATATTAAAATGTTTCTTAAATTTGTAAATACTGGATATCCCAAAAACATTTACCAACTATACGTTAAGGCCATTTACAATAAAACTAATAGAAAAGGCGCGTTCTTCTTGAACATTTTGGGTTGGTTCGGGTTTAAAATTTTAAAATTCAAGAAGCGTTATTTACATTATATCTATAAGCGCTCACAATCTATTTTGATATATTTATAAAATATGTTTTATTATAGCGATGTTTTCACAACAAATAAATAATAAAAATAAAACAAATTAGCTGCAAATCTTAAACTAATTTATTAATAAGCGTCAGGTTTAAATAAAATATCCCTATTGGTTATAGTTTGTCTAAATAAGCTAGATTAGTTTGATAAATGACGCATGAAGTATCGAATTTAATTTGTATGAAGGCTGACGTACTTAATAGACAGGTATCGTAGTGACGAAATAATTATCGAACTCAACTAAAATTATTATTTTCTTATTAACTAATTTAGAGGACAATTCTAGTATTGATTATAGTGTAGAGAATTTAGCGATGACAGAAATAATAGCGAAATCCAATTCGATTACGTACGGCTGTAGTAGTAATAAACATTTATTTACTCTCATTATTTGTTATGGTCATTATTAATTTGAGAAAACACTGTTTTTTTAATTCATAAGTTATAACTATAAATCTATCGATTCCAACTTCTATCAGAATAAAAATCGAAAATCGATAAGATTCATGACTGATTTTACACAACCCATCCCTACTAAATTTCAAATGAATTGTCAAAGTAAATTATTTAGACAAACTATAATAAAATGAACTGTCAATCAAAGTGACTAGTGTTGTAAACCGGAAATATATTACCGATTTTATCGATAGAAATTGTTCCATCTTAATCTCTATAGAATTATTACAAAGTGAAAAACGATTATTGTAAAACATTTTATAAAACCGACAAATCTTAATCGGTAAGGACGAGATTCCATAGAGTAAAGAAGGCCAGATTGACCATTGTATAGATGTTATATCTGGTTATTCTTTGACCGGAGAACATTGGTGTGAGTTCTCCCGCGTGTGCTGTTTGTTCACCTCCCAATGTATGGAATTGGAAAATATCACTCACCTAGAATATAATTTATTTATTAAAATAAACAGGACAAATATACAATACAATAAGTAATATGCAGATAATTTGAATTATAAACCGTCACCCCGCTCTGTCCCCACGTAAACAGATGAGAAAAAGTTTCATCCGTCCCACCTTTTAATCCCACTATCAATAAGGTGACAGGAACCGTTATGAAATAAATCTCAACAATCTGTGCGTCAAAAGGTAGGACGGATAAAACTTTTTATTCCCATCTATCTACGTGGGGACAGAACAGGGTGACGGTTAATACTAATCCGATAATTTGTCCTAATTATAAGTTTACACATCCCTATGACTGTCAATGTCAATTACAAGTATAGATTTACAAGGATCTTATCGCACTTTTTGGTATTCACAAGTTTTAAAGTTACCATTAAGTAAAGAACCACCAACTTTCAAGAAGATTTAGAGTTACCAGTAAATAAATAATTCCCAACTTTCAACAAGTTTGCAAGTTTTAGAGTTACAGTGAGCAAAGAATCACCAACTTTCAACAAGTTTGCAAGTTTTAGAGTTACCAGTAAGTAAAGTATCCCCAACTTTGTCTGTAAATTATTTTTTATGGATTAAACTTTTTTTTTTACCTCTGAACGTGATATTACCTCGTTCCATCCATATCTATTTTTGGCCTGCACGATGGCCTCGTAGACGGCGGCGGGCTGCAGGCCGCGCAGCTCGTGCGCCACGCGGTGCGCCAGCGCGCCGGCGGGCGGCGGCGGCGGCGGCGCGAGCACCACGTCGTGCCACCGCCCCGGCTGCTGGTACGACTCGTTGAACTGCGGACGTTTCACCAGCTTACGGCACTGTGGGAGCCCTAAGTGACTAGGACAGTGTAGGGCTCGCCACAAAACCACACAGACGTGAAGTGGAAGCAATTCCGTGTACAGTCTGATGAGTGTGCCGGAGGTCACATTGAAATCCCTTTCCTTTTGCACTCTTTTCTTAAGAGGAAAGGATGGGAAGGAAAAGTGGATTAAACTTTGGAGACGCATAAGAGAAATGTCCCCTTTATTTACGTCTTCCCCTCTGTCAATAAAGGGTAGGCAGGGCTGCGATTGCACATGTTTATGTGCAGCGGTCGCTTTCCATGTCTTTCCACCTTATGTTATAAAAAATAATATAGCTTTTGCCCGCGACTTCGTCCGCGAGAAATTTGAAAGTTCAAAACTTACATTCATTTTATATTATTAGTATATATATAGAATGTCAGTGTTATACGAACCGCTAGTTGCCTGTAGAGCAGCCGCAGCTCGTCCAGCGGCGGGTAGCTGTCGACGGTGAAGGCGAGCGTGTAGGCGGCGCGGCGCGCGACGGGCGGCGAGGTGAAGCGCGCGGGCCCGGGCCGCCCCGACACCTCCACGTGCTGGCGCGCGCGCCCCAGGCTGTTGTCGGCCACGCAACTGCCCGGACATTGCGACATATAATACGGGCAAAAGCGAATATCCAGCCGTGTTCCGTTTACCTAACTAGTGAGGTAACAAGATTTTATGTTCCGTTTACCTAACTAGTAAGGTAACAAGATTTTTTGTTCCGTTTACCTAACTAGTGAGATAACAAGATTTTTTGTTCCGTTTACCTAACTAGTGAGGTAACAAGATTTTTTGTTCCGTTTACCTAACTAGTAAGGTAACAAGATTTTTTTATTCCGCTTTTTTTTTGCTAAGGTACACTTTGCTAATTTCATGCCCTAAATTCTATGTTAAAATGATCAGCTATCGCTTTCAAGACCCAATACATAGCGATTTTTACGTTTTAAGTCCCGGAATTAATTTGAAAAAGTAATATTTTACTTAATAATAGTAATAAATGGACCGGAAAATATCGAAAAGTATTCGCACCCTACCGATTACGAAAACGGAAAAAAATCTTGATACCCAACTGGTTAGGTATCTTTAGTTAGGTAAACGGTAGCCGGCCAATATGGCCAATAGTTGGAATAAACACTGGAACTGGCGCAATGGAGATTTCAAGATGAACATACGGATAGGGGCAATAGCAAATATCCAGATGCACTTGGCCAATTTGGCCAACTTGGCTCTATAAGTGTATACATACATATATACAACTGGACTGTGATTCAACTGTTAGAATAATATAGAATTAAAGATAACCATAGCAATATGGACAAACGAAGTGAATCTAACGCCAAGTTCACTTGGCCAATTTGGCCAACAGTTGGCTCTATAACTGAAATTTCAAACTGGTAGAATAATAGAGATTTGAATTAGGGGCAAATAATGATCGCATAATGCCGCGTTCTTGGAAAACAGTTGGTTCTATTACTGGCATGTCAAAAAAACTGGACTGTCAATCGACTGGCAACTGGTAGAATAAAGACCAACATAGAAGTAGGGGGCAAGATTCAAAAAAATATATAGAGGAAGCATAATTGACTTTACTTGAAACATTTTTCATATCTATCTTACAACGCCATCTATTGGTTAGATCGACAAAACATGTCAACATAAATGTTGTTAGCTTTGTGACAAAAGATGGAGCTTTACAACACAAAGTTTGTCTAAATAAGATATATTAGTTTGATAAATAACGCATATGAATTATCAAATTCAATTTGTATGAAGGTAAATGCTGTACTTAATAGACAGGTATCGTAGTGACGAAACACGCAGCGCACAATTTGGAACTATCGATATTCGGTTTAAATAATTATCTAATTCAACTAAAATTATTATTTTCTTATTAACTAATTTAGAGGACAATTCTAGTATTGATTATAGTGTAGAGAATTTAACGATGGCAGAAATAATAGCGAAATCCAATTCGATTACGTACAGCTGTAGTAGTAATAAACATTTATTTACTCTCATTATGTGTAATGGTCAGTATTAATTTGAGAAAACAGTGTTTTTTTATTCATAAGTTATAACAATCAATCTATCGATTCCAACTTCATTTCATGACTGAATTTACACAACCCATCCCTACTAAATTTGAAATGAATTGTCAAAATAATCTAAATTATTTAGACACACTATAGTCTCGTCTATTCTTTGACCATTTTGCCAAAGAATATTTTCTCGAAGCGCTTCTAATTTTGACACTCTTATAACTTCGTTACGTATAAAGATAGAAGGTTGGGAGTTTTTTGTCCCTATTTTAGAAATCTCAGAAGATTTGTAGTTTTGATACTGTTACAAAATAATAGAAACTGAAGTAGTAGTGGGGGGTAGTTTCATAAAAGTCATTGCAAGGATTGAGGCGCCCTTAGTCGTTTAGTCGATGTCCCTTAGTCAGTCGCTTCAGTCGCTCAGTCCGCTCAGTCGCTCAGTCGTTCAGTCGCTCAGTCGCTCAGTAACTCAGTAACTCAGTACATTTCTAGTCGTCGCCACGGAACGTTCGATATCTTTTACGTAGTTGCCTTAGTGTTTCGTTTTATAATAATTCACTTGTATTGCTCATATTACCGCTCGACTGTCATATTTTGTTAAAAAGTCATTCGTATCGAAATTTATAACAATACGTAGATTTTGTAGTTTTCTACTTACCTGTAATTACCGAAGTCTTCAGGCTGTACATTAGCTATCAGTAACGTATGATTGTTTCCTCGCGCGGACATAGTAACGCGCTCGGAAGCGCTCAGAGGGAAAGAATTCTGATACCAGGACACCTGGAATATTGTCACAGGATTATTTTTTACTAGCTGTTGCTCGTGACTTCGTCCATATGATTTAAAAATATAGTCTGTTACTCAGGGATAATGTAGCTTTTCAATGGTGAAAGAATTTTTGAAATTGCCCCAGTAGTTTTTGAGTTATTTCAATACATAGTAAAATATAAAAATCCAAATCATAATATTATTTTTTTTAATTACCAGAAAATGCGTATTGTTACTAATATTATAAATGCGAATGTTTGGATGGATGTTTGTTAGAGTTTGTAGCCTAAACTGCTGAACCAATTTCGATGAAATTTTTTATAGATGTAGAGGACAGTCTGGAAGCACACATAGGCTACTCAATTTTATATTGCACGCAGACGGAGACGCGGGCGACAACTAGTATTTTTATAAATGAGAAAGTTTAGAAGGTTTGTTAGAGTTTGTTGTCTAAATAGTCCCACTACTAGCTGATAGAGGCTCGAATAGCTTAAAAATTACGTCATTGTGAAACATAACAAAGTATGTTTACGGTTTATTATATTAGTCCGCAGGAAATTATGAAAATTTTATTTTATTGTTTACATTTGTCAAATTATTAATAGCAAATGTCAAAATGACATGACATGACAAACCTTGCTTCCTTGATGTTGGCAGCAACTTATGGTGTCTTTCACACATTAGGGTTTTTATCCAAAATATTTACCCCCTAAGTTTAATATCGTGAAAATATAAAGCCTAAAGCGTGACGTAAGTGTAGGGCTTTTTATTGAAAACAGAATTATTCAAAAAAATGCTGTAATTGCTGACATCTTAGGCAACAAAGAAGTGTGTGTTTACGCTTTATTATAATAGTATGGATATTACCTCAGCGGGCGGGTCAGCCAGCACGGTACAAAGTAGTTCAGCTCTGAAGCCTTCTCCAGTATGCACCCAGGACCTTTCAACGGTAATCTCTGGAGGGTCTGTAAATAAATTATTCAAATAATTAATAAACAGATTTTATAATATAAGTTGGCAAACGAGCAAGCGGTCTGAATCCACCGAAATGGAAAGCGACCGCTGCATAAACATCCGCAATTACAGCGCTGCCTACCCTTCATTGACAGATGCACATAAAGAGGACATTTCCCCTTTCTATGCGTCTCCACTGTCAACTATTTTATTCCTCGTGGGCGAAATCTAGAATCAAAGCGAGACTGAACAGTTGTGCAATAGACTAACGTGTTCGTTCTTAGAATATATGTAAAAGTGTTGACAAGCACCTGGGGGAGGTTTTAATCTTA